TGATTTACATGCCCTAATGCACATCCAAACTGCAGGAGTCCACCCTTGGAAAGCTTTGGTGTGCATGGCATTGAAGTAGTTTACCTGGATGGAAAGCATCACTGTCCTCTACACAGACATGACAGTACTGTCACAGACATGAGGAAGGTCAACTGTTCTCCAATACCCACTAGCCATAGAAGCAGGGAGAGAGCAATGCATAACAATGTACTTTATAATAAATGTGCTCACCTCAGACAGGCTCTGCCGCTCACTCAGCCTCCCCCACGGTGCTTACGTCTCCTCTGCTGCCCGCTCAAAAGACAGCTCCGCGTCCGACACAAGAAAACAAAAACCTTCCTGCACGTCACGTGTTCAGGAAGGTACCAACATGGCATATGGATAGGGGGGTCGGCCGGGACGTACCAATTTTTTCGTACGACCGCGGCGGAACCCGCAAAAAGCAGTCAACTGCACCGGCGGTAGTTCCGCCACTGATTTGATGCCCTTTGCGCCAGATTTATGATGCCAGTGTAATGTTATTCATAAAGGAGGACTCCAGGAAAGCAGACTCGTAACTCCAGGCAAAAAGCCTAACTGTCGCTTCTTGAAGAAGTGGTCATGGGGACTTCTTAAGTTGTGATTGTTTTGTTGGGTGATACTCCAGTTTCAGACAGCCTCAGGACAAGTGCAGATGAAAACAGGTGCAAAAAACGTGCAATTGAAAAAGTAGTGCAAGCTCTCAGATGGCCAGAACGCACTGCCTCGCATTGTGGACGGCTCAATTTTTCGTGGAGCAGGAGGGGGCATGGCGGGCCATTGAAGTGAATGGCAACGTAGCCGCACCCTCCAGCCACAATGCGATCGACCGCACAGGATCGCAAGGCACATTATGCCTGCGGTCCGGTGCTGTGCGATCAAAATAGTGCTTGCAGCATTTTGATGGGGCAGGAGGGGCATGGGGGGCCATTGAAGTGAATGGCACCGTAGCCACGCCCTCCGGCCGCAATGCGATTGACCGTATGGGATCGCAAGGCACATTATGAGTGCTGGTGATTCCTGCTTTCTATAGAATTATATGATTCTATATTTGTGTCTGAGCTTCTCCAAAGAAAGAGTTGAAGAAACATAATGCAGACTAGTGAACATGGTGGCTTACCCTATATGATGTACAAATGTGGACGCACAGGTGGACCACACCAGCAATAGGATGGCTTTGTCTGCCTTGTGGAGAAGATATATGTCCAAATCCTGAGAATGCTACATTGCAGTTCCCCCTAGAACTGAAGCAATGCTGGATTTCAATCAGATCTACACAGCAGTAGGACCATTCGTAGTATACGAACAGACCGCACTATCCAGAGAATTCCAATACTTCAGACTTTATTCAAATTCACAGCAAATCCAGTTTACCAGTGTATGTAACAGCAAATACCAGCACCGCAAACCCCCAACCAGCTAAAACCTCTCACATGTTTCACCCATAGGCTTATTCATGGAGGTCATGCACGCAGCAGTAGGACCATTGCTATATACCTATTTTTAGCACAGTAACCAGGCAGTACCCACTCCAATGGATGGCGTAATATGGGGGCAAGGATTTCAAGACTACAGTTGTTTATCTTTTTGGATAAGTAATGGTATAGCTCAGTGTTTCTCAAACTTTTATTGTTCACAGCACCCTTTAAAAGTATGCAAAATCTCAAGACACCTCAGTCTAAAATATTAAAAATGTCAATATAAAAAAAAGTGTGGTCCCTCCAAAGTCTATACCAAGCCCTTATCCGAGATAAGGGTCTGGTATGGATTTTAAGGGGGGCCCCATGTAAAATAAAAAAAAAGAAGTAGGGTTTCCCCTTTCACATTAGAAGCCCCCCTTTACATCATATTCCCTTTTTCCACATCAGAGTCCCTCTTCACAACGGGCCCACTTTACATTAGAAGCTCCCATTTCATATCAGAATCACCCCTTTCACATCAGAGTTCTCCCTTCACATCAGGAGCCCTCTTCACATCAGCAGCCCTATTCTTTACATCAGGAGCCCCCATTTCATATCAGAGTCTCCCCTTTCACATCAGAGTTCCCCCTTCACACCAGGAGCTCCCTTCACATCAGGCAGCATGGCAGAGGGCGGGAGTCACAGCAGGCCTGGATGAAGGCAAACCCCGTCCTTTTCTGAATGGATGCCACCCTCTGTGGATTAGTGTCATTAATTTCCATTTCCATTCAGCTCACCTGCACCATAGAAAGCATGACGCTGGAAAACAATTTCAAGGCACCCTATTTGAGAAAGGCTGGTATAGTTCATGAATGGCATCCACTACAATGCTGCAAACTGTCTCAATATCTAATTGTGTTCTACCATTGGAAAAGTTATATATTTTATTTATGGATGACGTGAGATGAAATGTAATCAAATACAACACAAAGCAGCATCTGGGGGCTTAGCAGGGTCTTTCCTGTGCTTATTATAATATCGCAATCCCAAAAACTGAAGTATTAAAGTTTATCTCCAAGTCTTATTTTTGTTTTATTTATTTATTTTTAATCTTAAACCTCTCCCCAACCCTCTAGAGAATCCTCAGGAATAACAACTGTACAGAGGTTTTAAAGAAGTCTCAGCTTATTCTTCACAGCTCAGTCACCTCGCTCCCACAGTGTATGTTGATTTTTATCCCATGCTTCTGTGTGCAGTAAAAACTGAGATTCAGACTTTGACAGCTCGCTCCTCCTCATTTCTGACCATGCTGTGCAAAGGAGATGGCCTCTTGATTGACAGCTCTTATCTCACTGTCTTTTCATATTCCAGATGCAAGTGCGGACACAGGGACATAGAGGGAAGGGGGTGTGCCTTCATGGGAATCAGCCCAGGCCCTAGCCTTGGGTTGGGAAAGTATAGAGGCAGTGAGATAAGAGCTGTCATTCAAGAAGCCATCTTCTTTGCAGAGCATAGTGAGGAATGAAGAGGAGTGAACTGTCAAAATCTGTATCTCAGTTTCTCCATCACACAGATTAATGGGATAAAAAGCAACATACTCTGTGGGAGTTGACTGAGCTGTGAAAAATAATACAAGGTGAGGCTTTTTCTTTAACCCTACACCTCTCTATCTAAAATAGGACTTGGCTGGAGTTCTACTTTAACATTTTGGCAATAAAATACAAAGTGTAAACCTGCATGTTCACGGAGAGAATACTGTATACAAAAAATCAGAGGCAAGGGTAAGCTGTTCATCATCTCAGCTTTTAAACAGGCTTTGACAGCAGAAATCTGTAGGCAATGACAATGAGCGATCATTGCCAACTGATTGCCCTTTTTAATAAGGCGCAAAAGTTCCATCTTACCATGCTC